CCCCCCCAATTAACACAACAAAGTAGAACCTATTTTTGATAATTCACTCAATCCTAGAAAGCAGTCCTAATTGGTATACCAATCTCAACTAGAATTTAGGAAAAAACCTGTCTGCTATAAGTAAAGTGTTTTGCCTTTTAACACAACTGCATAAACTGAAAAAAAGCCTTAGGAATTTATCTTAGCACACACTTCTACTCGCAGCAACGAAGAGCAGAAAAGAGTGTCTTTTGGATTTTGAGGAGCAATCTTAACACATTTGCATGAAAAGCGAGGGTGAACGTGCTCAACATTTAGTTTCTTTTTTCTTTGCCACTCAAAAAGCATCAAGAATTTCCTTTTTGCTTCGACTTTCTTCCAATATTACACAAACTACCCATACAGTTTCTATTACTATTAAGCTGACATAACTATCATGTCATCATTTCTACAGGCAATCAAGTCTGCTGTTAATATTATTTATGTAAATATACATTAACAAAAAAATACCATTAGGAATAAAGATTTAAAAACTGTAGGCTGAAGCACTTCACAATTCAATCAGCATGAAGTATCTTGAGTTTTGTCATGCTATCAATAAAAATAAATATTGAACTTCCATATGCACCTATTTGCTAACCTTATTCAACTGAAATAAGTCATACTCCTCAATATAGATGCTTTAAGGATAACAACAAATTTGTTGCTAACAATTACCTACACAGCGTGCCAAGATGTAGGAAAACACACTTAAAGAGCAAGTACAAAGCCTCTCAGTGGATTCTGTTTTTAATACCAAGTATCTTCATGACAGAATTCAGCTGTTTGATTAGCATTTCTGGCAACCACCTAAATCACAGGGGCATGACTGGTCAAAAAATATCTTAGAGTTATTAAAAAAGATTTACCTTGAGACATCTGTGTTTTTAGTGATCTTGAATCTGTTGTAAATGCAGAACCAACTGCAGTGCTTTGGGACATGCTAGCACTGGCTGAAGAGTCTGTTCCAAAAGATGTTAAAGAACCTCCTGCTTTGAAAGAAATAACATAGTTGTAAAACCTGGTTTACACTTTTTTCTGTATTTTTTAAAATTAGCACTAAATGATTAGTGAAGCCATATTAGGCAGTTATTCTAAAATACACGTAAGTCTGCCGTTCCCATACATTTCAAGTTTAATGTAATGTATGTATTCATAGTAAGTTGTTAAGACTGTAATATCTTGATGTTTTTAATCTAAAAAAATTAAAGAGCACTGCTAACTTCAGTATTAACATAGCATAGTCATGCCAGCATCTTACAGAGTAAGAAATGTTATTAGTACTTATTTCCACTTAACATCTTTTAAACAAAAGCATGACTGTCACATCTTATTAACTGATACCAAGTTATGGCCAATTCTAGAGCCTTCCTATCACATGGCTAACATTTTCAGCACCAGGAGTAACACTGCCGCCGTAACAGTTACAAGAATTTAAGTTCTTATGTGAAAAGCTGAAATAAAAAACTTTAAGGGAGGAGCTAAAGTTGGTTGGTGAGTCTCAGAGAACATCTGCAGTATAAAGGAGCAACTAACCCATGCAGCTCACAAATACTTCAAGCATGTTCTTCACACTAAGCTAACTTCTCATGAATAGCTGGAGGACTGTGCTGGCACATGGATTGCTGAATAATCCAAACCCTTGGTTAAGGCACACATCACCCGGTCACCTCGGGATACCCGATGTCCACAGCACAGCTATGGGGTTTTTGTGGAGAAGCTGCCTTTACCACTTGTGAAATATCACAGAATCCTAGAATGCTTTGGGTTGGAAGGGACCTTTAGAGGTCATCTAGCCCAACCCCCCTGCAGTGAGCAGGGACAGCTTTAACCAGATCAGGTTGCTCAGAGCCCCATCCAACCTGACCTTGAATGCTGCCAGGGATGAGGCCCACCTCTCTGGGCAACCTGTTCCAGTGCTTGACCACCCTCATTGTAAAAAATTTCTTTCTTATGTCTAGTCTAAATCAATTCTTTAGTTTAAATCCATTATTCCTTGTCCTCTTGTCCTATCACAACAGGCCTTGCTAAAAAGATTCTCCCCATCTTTCCTGTAGGCCCCCTTTAAGTACTGGATATTCTTTAAGTACTGAAATATAATGAATGCATGATGAATATAACAAATAAATATGAAAAAATGAATTCATGAATACAGGAACCTTTCCCCACTCATCCCTCTGAGATAGGGTGTTTAATTCTCAATCATAATTGCTTTGATTTGAGCTGCAAAGGCTATGAAAAACTCTCTACTTTTGAGCTACACTGTGGGACTGATACAGATTGAAGACTTTGGATCTGCCCTTAGGATAAGATGTTGATGGAATTATAAGCACCGATTACTGTCTATGCACACGTGCAACTTCACTTACAGGAAAATGCCAAAGAATAAAAACGTACCAACTCCAACAGCGCCAAACTGCTGCCCCACCAATGGGCTTGGACTAAACTGACTGTATGCGGGCATTCTGCCAAAAGGACCATAGGACCCCACAGACTGGAATGAAGATGTAGTCGAAGATCCTAGTGAAGACTAAAGACAAAACACACTTGCAGAAATTCATGTTTACATAAAAAGTAGGAAATAGTTCTGCAAGGAAAGAAATGCAGAAATTAAAACTATTTGTTAAATTTACCCTAACACTACCACTGTGGCTAATATGTATACAAGATCTTAACATTCATAAAGGTGCTTCTTTTAAGATCAAGAATTTAACTGCTTTAACACAGAAGCAAAGACAGCACAAAAATAATGAATTGCAGACATTACACACAGTACATGAAAATTCAAAACAGACAACTGTTAGCAGAAAACATTTTCACAAGTATGTATACAGTTCAGAAACCACTTTCACCCTTCCAATATCACAAACTTGTGAAAACAGTATCATAAAATTTTGCAATCTTTTCCCTGGAACCTCAGATACTGGACTCTTGTCAAACACATGTATAAGCTTTTGTTGGCAAACTTGGAAAATGTCCTATCTTTTCTCCTGAAGTTTCAAAACCCACACAAACAATGAAAGACCCAAACATACTGGAGGACAGTGGGGTCATTACTATTATTGGGGTTAGCAGTAATGCAATTTCACAGCTCTCAACTACCACTGACAGAAGCAGTTGCACCAAATTTAGCAAGAGACCTTAGGGGATTGCAAGGGTACTTTGTAAGGAAGTATCAAGAATTTTATCTTATAGAATAGTTAAACATTAGAAACGTAAACACTTACATGGAATTATTAAGTTCCATTTGAGCCAAGAACTTCCATCTTGCTCTCAGGGATGATTTTGAGACACCCCCCAAACACAATCAACAAGCCAAAAAATATCAGAGATCAAAAATAACTCTCTCTGTCAGCACATCATCTATGAAGTAACAGATTAACTAACCCTGAAGGCTTCAAGTTGTGAGTTGCTTTCCCTTCAGCAACCAAGTATTCCTTTTTCAAATAACTGCCCTTTAGTATGAATCCCTCTTAAAAACACATAGCTAGATGAAACACTTTCAGAGTCATAGTCAGCAAAAAAATTTGAACATTAAAATCCAAAGAAAACCAACAAAAAAAAAACCCCAAACACTAACAATTTGGAGAGGTTTCAGCATTTGCCTTATACCAAGTCTGATCTTTCCAAGAAGTTTTGCATACCTGTCCTCCTAAGCCAAGTACCTTTCAAAAAAAGGCATCAAGGTCTGCCAAAAGTCATTAGTTGTTTTTGAAAAACTGTCAGCTTTGGTATCCAGTGCATTGTGCTAGAGTTAGATTTCACCTTGATTTTCACAGTTAAAGACACGATTCAAAAGAGGAAAATCTTTCCAGAGTTCTTTACATTAGGTTGTGAACTTTACAGCAACAAACATTTTAATTTTTAAATGCTCAGCTAGAGAGCACTTAAAGCTACCAGGTTATATCTTCAGCAGCAAACATCTAAAAATATGTTTTGACTTACCTGAACAATAGCAGGATCCTGCGGCAAGGAACACTGAGGCTTTGGTGGCTCACAGACAGTTAGGTCTTTAATGTCACTGCCACGGAATATAATATACTCAAAGACTTCATCCCGAGGTGGTATAGGCCTATCGGTTGGTCTATCTTCTGTACCAAAGGAGCGAACTGCAAAATTGGGAAGGGTGAAAAAAAATAAAACCATCCCACATTCAACAAAAAGGTTTCAAATATATTGCAGAGACCAACAGCTTTAAATAAAAAGAAAAAATTTTGTTGAGCTAAAAACCTTAAATAGGCAGCATATTCTTTGCCATTATCAACTGCTCAGACATAAAGAAGTCATCCGATCTTACAAATTTCAGTTAAAAATCAAGCAGAAAGACACCTCTTCTATTCCTTACTGAGACATCACTTATGCTATCACTCACATGTTGAATATTTCAACTGTCTTGTGAGGATAAGGCAAAGCAGCAAAGCAGTTTTTTGCTAAGTTAACACTTTCTGGACATTACGGAAACAGGAACACCAACAAAGGCTGGTGAGTCAGCCCAAGGACTACATGAGTCTACATACTTCGTATTCCGAACTTGCAAATCAGGAAAAAGAATATGCTAATACTACTAGAAAGTAGAATATTAAAAATTACTGAAAGCAAAGTATTTCTCAATAGATTCAAGGTCTGAATCAAGATTTAAATAAAAACTAGGAATTCTGTGGTATGTATATACAATTTTCACTAAGCAAAATGCATTCTTCTTGCTGGTGTAAGGTTCATATGATCTCTGTCAAATTAAGTAAACTCACTGGTGCATAACCACCTTCCTAAGTAGGCCTGCATAGCATGCTACATACCAAGACATTAAATTTATTTGTATGTACTTAGCTGAATTCCAACAGTTTTCAAATTGCATAGTGATGAAGCTTATCATGCTTTTCCCTTTGTACTACATATAATCACTACCACTGTATACACATAGCATAACTTTACTTTCACTACCCTCTCAAAGACTTTTCCTCACCTTAAGACTGCCAGTCCTAGGTGAATATAAAGTGAAACAAACAAAAAAAATGTGGAGAGACATGTCTCCAAGAGCTAGAGTTTTGTAAGCAAAAACTAAACAATGAATTGAAAACAGAAAAGAAAAAAAAAATTATGACAATCACATTTTCCTGAACATCAACTTGAAGCGGCTTTAACAATCCCTCATGCCTGTCTTTGCTCTAGCCTTTTAAGAGGTTTTTGTTTGCTTTGTAAGGTACTACAGGTTATGCTGAGAAAACACCCGTATTTTCCTTTAATTTACCAGAATTAGTTCTCCCTCCATTTTCAGATGCATCACCAATTTCGAGACATCATTAGGCACTCATTTGCAGCCATAAAACCATTAGTCAAGAAAAACAGAGTTTCCTGAAGAGCTGTATAAAGTGATACTGAGTCATTTTTCAGGCTGCATCAACCATCTTTTAACACTGTTGCTTCTTCTAGTACTGGATAAACAGAGCTTATCAGTCAAGCATTACAAATCTTTGAGAAGCATAATTCAGGGGTAAAGAGATCAACTCCACACTACAATGAAAAATAACATTAAGTGGTTATGATTATTTTGTTCATACATCCTCTACTGAGCTGAATTTAATCAACTTTTCTATTTCTGTGCATCTGAAAGTCTATAGTGCTATAAAATGTAAGCGCTGTAAAAAAGCCATATACTGTTAAGTGAATTTCAATCTTTGTTATAAGGTAAATCTGTCTTCTCTTCTTCTTCTACAGAAAGAGATATCTGAAGCTGAAGAATTTGCAGAAATTAATGCAAAGTAATACACAATAGCTTAACAACATTATAAATTGGTCATGTGCCTCATTTAGTTCATTCTGTTGCTTTTTATTCATCAGGCTTTTCCATTCCACTGCCTTGACCAAGGACTCACCTTCACTTGCTGGCCATCCTATACTCTATTTATTAGATAACTAATAAGTTAACTTGGCCCTTCATTCCATTATTTGACCTGCTATCTTGGTAAGGAAAACCAAAGTTGATTTTGTATTGGCTCTCTCTATCCCACACTGAAATGGCTGCTCTAGTAGCCATTTTGTCTACAAAGGTACACAAAAATGGCCAGAGTTACTGAAGTATTTTACCTTCTAGCTAAAGTGAAGGAACCAAGCAGTAGCAACACCACAAAAAAGGGTAGTAAACTTGAGGATCACATCTAACCTCTACATAGAAATAAAAATCTGATGAACTATGGAAGAAATTGGCTTTGAAAGTACTTCTCTTTGTCAGACCTATGCAGCATGGATAAGTATTTTACTATTAATAGCAACATCATATGACACATATAGGAATAGCTTTAACACCTGGCAATTACCTTTCTCCACTCTAAACCAATTAAAAAAAAAGTGAACAACCTAACTTTCATCTAATGACACCTTAAAAGAGGTACAGGGATTTTAATGTATGTCAAAAAGAATTTGTCTTTCTCCCTATCATAAAAATATGAAAACATCAAAAGGAAGTAATTTCAATACCAAAAATTAGAATTCATCTTGAAGAGATTCAGCTGTCTATGCAATTAGATCAAGACACAGATAAGGTCATCAATGGTTTTGCAATAAAACACATCAAGAGTTGCTACTAGGTGTTTGTGGTTTTTTCTCTACCTCTCCCCTACCCCAAACCAAACTGGTTTTAGTGCAACTTTCTGCAAAATATAAAGACAATTCATCCAATGAAGATTAGTTCTGCTGGAGAGGGTAAGCAAACTCCTCTGATCTGGGGTTCAACCTTCCCCTCTCACCCCAAAGCAACAAAATAACCATGCTCAAGTCTAATTTCTTTCTAAAGCAAGGAACCAGAACTGCATGTGCAGTGATCTAAGAAAGCAGTTTAGGGTAACGGCTACTCGATGTTTTTGCAGTGTCTATCCCCACTAGGTCCTTCAGATAGTAGTATAACATAAAGAGTTGAATGTCACTTTTAGTATTTTGCAAAGAGATAGCCATCTTTACAGTTTCTTCTTTCCTAGCTTAGATTAGGATTTAACATAATCTGAGCTCATTAAAGTAAAAAGCCTAATATTAAAGGTGGCAGTACAATAGGATTTTTGAAAGAAATGGCTTTTACCACAGTTTTGCATCAACAGGAATACTAAGTTGCCAGAGTATACAAAACACAAGGAACTGGAGCAGCAGCAGTCTTAGCACTCTATCCAGCTCTGTCTCTTGGGGTATTTCCTCAGACTACATCCTTCCTCCAGAACAAGGTGCAGTGGTTCATTTATAGCAAAATACTGAAGAGTGAGAGGAAATGAAAATAAGCACATGAAAGATAACAATCTTATAACACTTACCAGGACTATGGTAAACCTGTTCAATCTTACCTTGTCAATTTAAGTTTTTTGGGGTTTGTTTGTTTTTCTTTAAAATGAGCTAAACAGGCTTATGGACTTGTGAACAAAAAAAGCAACCATCACATTATTTTTTGTCAGTGTAAATACACACAATTAAGTAGCGAGCTAGAAAGAAACTAACACTGTTGAGCCTAACAGGATTCATGCATGTGACTTTATGCCGAAGTAGTTCCACCAATTTCATATTAAAGTGCTGCAAACAAATTTTTTCACGGATTTTGACTGACTTCAATGTTACTACTGTATTATAAAGTATATTACTATATGATACTACTATAGCATCCAAGGAAAACATTGCAACTTTCCCTATTAGTTAACAGAAATGATTACATTACCTGTTGATTAACACAGAAAAATACTGTTAATCAGAAGCCAAGCTATGTATTCTACTAGCAAAAGAGGACTCTGTTCCCATAGAATGTGAATTATTGCAAATATGTAGTTCAGTCTCTGTACACAGCACTGACACAATCTTTCATCAGTCTTACTTCATATGTAGCATACATACACAGAAGAAACCAGTCTTTCCCCACTCTTAAGGCACCCATGAGAAGCGTGACAACTAAAAGGAGACCACCACTACCAGAACAAGTCATTTCAACTACCATCTCTCTTCAATATGTCACAACCTTTTCCGTGTAAACATGCTTAGATGCCTGCACACCATATTAGAGGAAAAGTATTAATGTTAAGGAGCCAGCTTGTGGCGGGCTCGTACCTTCAGAACAATTAATTCAGCCTGCATTCCTTTACTCATAGGGGTGGTGAGTTAACAGGGAGATAGATATAAGGGAAGTAGCCACGAGTGGGCTTTGACAAGAGGAATTTTTCTGCTGTGACATACTGCACAGCATTGGTTTGGCACACATCCCCTAAACCTCAAGACATGGAGGGAGCATGTCACTTAACTGACTAAAAAATAACTTCATGAAAACTTGGTAAAAATTTAACCCTTCCCTTTCCTGCTCTCACCCCTGAACTACAAGAAATGCTCAAGTCTTCATAAGAATTTAACTTTTTTCTGTCTACGTTTCTGAGTCTTTCACCCAATTAATATTGTGTAAAAGTCTAAATGAAAGGGAAGTTTTCTCTTTCTCGTGTCACTAGACTACGGAAAACACTATCACAGATGGCTGAAAATGCCAGAAATGCTAGAAGTTTAACCACTTCTTAAATTACTGAAAGCTATTTCATTAATATCTATTAGTTATAATGGTTCCAAATGCAGCTCTCAATGGTCCAACAGCTGATAAGTGAAAACTAATGCATTATACCAGACAGACAGTGTATAATTTTGTTTCTTATACTCACATGCTTAAGGATTCCCTATTGTTGGCAGGGTACAAAGCCTTTTCTGACCCAATATGGTTGTTCTTACACAGCTTACCTACATTAAAAATCTCTCTCTCTGAATTGGTGCCTTGAAATAGAAAGACATTATGTATTACTAGCATAAAAGATCACATCCAGTTTTTAATGCCGCAACATGTAAGATCAGGCACAATCCGTCATGATTATTCTGTAACTGCCCCACGTCGGGCAGCAATCGCTTTACAGCAAGAAAATTTGACTCCTAACCGTGGCTTGCAAACACGCTATTCTTAAAGCGTTTGGAATTAATGATGTTTAAGAAATTAAGTATGAATTAGAAGTATGAACTAGAAGGACATTCCAAGTCAATTTAACTTGAAGCTTAAGAGTGGGTGGTTTTTGGTTCCAAACACTAGCTCTGAAAAGCTGGCAATCCAAAGAAA